GCTGAAAGAAAGTAGGTTTCTTTCTGATAACACTTTTTGCTTTTATGTAGCACTTTTATCTGTTTATGTACAAGTCTACAATTTAGGCTTATGTTTTGAGTTGTACAGTCTGCTGTACCAAATGATAAAAGCCAACCACTATTGTTTTCTTTTTACTGGATAAATCCTTTGTTAAAAATAACAAGTATTTTATTTTTCTAAAATATCTGCAGAGCCTCATGTTTGCCATACTGTAGTTTTTAAGCACAAACAAAAGATCAATGAAATAATCCAGGGAGAGAAACATGCTATGATCCATGATTATAACAGTACTCTTAGGGACACAAATAAAACCCAAGAAATTTGAAGAGAATTTAGGAATTTCTCCTTATGTTAACCTGATGGGTCCATGTATGGAAGGATTTTTACGGCAGGCGTGGAAGAGTGAGTGTCATGGGTTTTGTAGTGATTCAGCATAGCAGTACAGAAGCTCAATTTTAGTTTCAATTAATTCAGTAAGAAAAAGGGTTTGTTTTTTTCTTTTCTCAAAATATTAATGACTAAGAAAATGCAGTCTGTTTAAGTTCGCAGGTTATATACTACAGGATCTTTATTGATCAATGACATATCACAGTAAGCTAGAAATGTCCTCTTCACTAACACAACAAAAGCATATTTTGATTTAGGTCTCAAATACTAGCTTCAGTAGACTAAAAATGAAACTTTTTTGAGTTATTTCATTGAGAAAGGAAAGTACTAAAATCAGTGTGCTTTTTGTGATGCAGGCACTGTTCATATTGAGGTGACTAGGAAATAAACCCACATGAGTACTGAACAGACACTGAAAGACATGCATGTGACAATAACTCACAAAGTGCACTCTTTTAAAAGGAAGAATGGCTCTGTATGTAGGGAGACACTTGTTTATAATCCACGTTTTCTACAAGACTGAGCAAGCCACCTTATTTTCTCAGTTCTTCTATCAGAAAATGGGAAATAAAATAACTAACTACCTTTCCTTTGCCTCCTTTGCTTTTAAATTTGAATTTAAGTGTGTTAAGAGGTGTACTATTTTCAGCTATACTGCTTTTACAGTATGGGAGTCAGACAAGTCTCTTTCAGGATCTTTATCCATGACAGTATAACAAATAGCAAACAACAGTAGTATTTTGTTTAACTTGGCCAGTTCTCTTTATGGCTCTGGGGAATGCCTTCGGGATTCCCAAGAGTTGACTGATTTGGATGGACTGGTAAATGTAGTAAAACTCATCAGCTATGCATTCAGAATCCATACAGGCGAGGCAAGGGCTGGAGTATTAGCAGAGGTTCAGCTCTGCTGAGCGCGCCTGACTTGACACGAGGCACAGGGAGGTGACATGCACTGGAGCATGTGCAATGGCAATAACTCCCCATCCCCACCCTCCTCCCTAAATCCCATGACTAAGACAATTTTCTGTATCCATCTGATGCTGGAAGGGTATGTTTTGACAACTCTTCAGTTCTGACCATAATTTAACTAGACATAGTGCATATAGGCATAATGCTGCATTGATGCTGGAGTTCAACGGACCTTTTACTATTGGTTGACTTCCCCCCACCACCACCCCGGGTAATCCTTTGTGGCCTTTGTTTCTTGCTTAATGATGATTCATTTTACATGCTTATAGTACTATTTATATTTCCCCTTCTTGGTTCGTTTCACAGCATTCGCGTCTAATGAGCCAGTCAATATAGTACACTTTGATTTTCAAACAGCTTTCAAAAACCATCCTCACCAAATACTTCTAAAGAAACAGCACACATTGGATAAGAGTAAAGTCCTTTGAGGGATTAGTAACTGGGGAAAGATGAGGGGAAAGAAAGGAAAACAGTAAGCAGGAGAAGTTAACTTTTGCAAAGATCAAGTGTTACTAAGAAGATTTAATGACAGAAGTGGCCTGCCTCAAGCTGGGTCATGTTCTGTTCAACAGAGTTGTAAGGGATTTGGGGGTCAATAAGAGTGTGTAAAGCTTACAAATATATAAGTGGACTATGAAGTCCACTTAAAAAAAGTATTCATAAAGCAGCCTGACTTGGCAATAAAATGGAAGACGAAATTACATAGTGGCAAGCATAAAGCAGTATGATCGCATGTGCATTAGAGATAGATAAACCCAGAAGTGTTTCACCATTGCATCATGCCATTGATCAATCCTTTTATGAAAATATTAGGGGTCAGGAGTTTTGGAAGAAAAATTTCCATTTTGTCTATCACAGATACATTTTAAAACTATTTTTGTCCTTAGTGACGACCCTGTAATTGTAATCCTACTGATTTAATTGTGGCTGCATTAATGGAAGTCTTTACCCAAATTTATTTCTTTTACTGTCTTCTAAACTTTTGTCACTTTCTGTCTGGTGATCAGACTAAGCATGAACCTTTTTTGATTTACCAGAAAGCTTTTTTTTTTTTTAAAAAAAGCAAATAACTTCTTGGTTTCCTGTTAAATTGGAAGGAAAATGTCTCTTAAAGAAATCACAAGTTGGAGGGGCTGTTCCAGTTGGCTGAAACGTCTGGGAAACCAGTTTCTTTCTTCAGCTCTTGCTGTAAAAGCAGGCTCCAGAGTCTCTGTAACAGGTAGTGACTAGCTGAGAACAGAGGTAGGTAGCTTTCCAACAGGTGGAAAGAACTACTGGAGGAATAACAATGCCCCAAAATTCAGAACTGATTTGATGGCCTTTCTTCACAGAATCACAGAATGTTAGGGGTTGGAAGGGACCTCTGTGGATCATCTAGTCCAGGCCCCCTGCTGAAGCAGGGGCACCTAGAACAGGCTGCAGAGGACCTTGTCCAGGCAGGTCTTGAATATCTCCAGAGAAGGAGAATCCACAACCTCCCTGAGCAGCCTGTTTCAGTGCTCCGTCACCCTCGGAGGGAAGAAGTTCTTCCTCATGTTCAGACGGAACTTCCCACGCTTCAGTTTGTGCCCGTTACCCTTTGTCCTGTCACTGGGCACCACTGAAAAGAGCTTGGCCCCATCCTTCTGACACCCACCCTTCAGATATTTATAAGCATTTATAAGGTCCCCTCGCAGCCTTCTCTTCTTCAGGCTAAACAAGCCCAGCTCCCTCAGCCTTTCCTCTTAGGAGAGATGCTCCAGTCCCCTCACCATCCTCGTAGCCCTCCACTGGACTCTCTCCAGTAGCTCCTCATCTTTCTTGAACTGGCCTTCTTGGCAGCCAGGGCACACTGCTGGCTCATGGTCAACCTGTCGTCCACCAGCACACCCAGGTCCCTCTTCACAGAGCTGCTCTCCAGCAGGTCTGCCCCAAGCCTGTACTGGTGCATGGGGTTGTTCCTCCCCAGGTGCAGGACCCTGCACTTGCCCTTGTTGAATTTCATCAGGTTCCTCTCTGCCCAACTCTTCAGCCTGCCCAGGTCTCACTGAATGGCAGCCCCACCTTCTGGTGTATCCACCACTCCTCCCAGTTTTGTGTCATCAGCAAACTTGCCTTTTTTCTTCCTGCAATGCTTCTAGAACTGTATGTACAGTCAGTAAAGACTGCTTATTTGAAAATGATGTCTATATTACACTTCTTCAACAAGACTAACCTCATCTTTGTGATTAACTATTTCTGCTAGTCACCTCTCACGCTGCATCTCAGAAGAGCTCACTAGTGACTCAGAATTACTGCTGCAGAGTCCCACCCTGCTTGTTTGTATACATTGGCAACCCTGTTATACAAGCACTGATGGTATTAGAGTACAAAACCCCATGCTAATACAACTCCCCTTAATGGCTATGCTTTAATACTGAACTGCAATGAATTCCAGTTAGATCAATTTCTTCTGACCTAACTGATAATTGAATCTTCTTCCCCTGAACAACTTGCTAATGGACAAACATACAAAGAAGAATGGTTTAGAGTAAAGTAGACAGTAAAAACATTACTTAAGTAGGATGAAGACTTTACTTCTTCTCCACTCAAAGTTAGCCACTGGTTCTCAGGCAGATTGCTTGGGACTGAACCAGAAGTCAGGAAAAGATAAAGGGCTCAGAAAAGCTTCTGGTAACATATAACCAGTGTAAGTAAATTATTCATGTATTTAAAATTGGGGAGTTCATCTTTCTGAGTGACAGTATAGGTTTAAAATTGAAGAATGATGTGGATGAGTACCAGAAACACAGACTCTGCCTTTCAGAAGGTGACTGAAGTAAAGATTCTTTGAGGTCTGATCTCACATCCAATACATTTTTAAGACTCTTCACAACTGCAGCAATAAAAATGTATAGGATGAAATATATTACACAGTGGAATTCAGTCTTCAGTTCTGATTTTAACTAATGCATCATAGTATTGTTTCAAAATAAATCAGACTTCAAGCTTTGCAGTCAGTGTTTTCTTACTTTTCATGATTCATAGTGCTCTAAGGGTGAAACTTGAATATATTTTCAAGAATAAGATTTAATGAAATTTCATTATAATATATTTTTAAAGAATGTACAGTGCAGGAATTTTTGTTGTTGCTATGTCAAAACTAATATCAACCATAGTGGAAAACCTGTGTATGTGTTGTTTTTTTCTGCAGACATTAATACTGTGAGGAATTAAGTGAGGGATTAAGAGGAAAGGAAAACCAACTGCAAGATTTATATATATTGGAGGCGATCTATGTCCATATAGGGCTTACGTCTTTGCCAATCAGATCCTCTTGATTTTCCACAATTCCCCAGGGAGCTATACCGATGGTGCAGATCTTCCCTCGAGATTTTGAAGCATGATCTTTCAGTGCATCTCCGACATGCCGAATGACTCCTGGGAAAGAAAGACCATAAAATAGAAATTCATAATTGTGTCCTTTTTGTTCATGATGATATGGATCCAATATAGAATTCTTTTTTGGGGAACACCCATGCATATACTTACAATTAAGTAAAGCTCTGAGTATTTCCTATTGATTATTATTACAGTAATACTGCAAGTCTATTTTATCTAATATAAAAGATATTAAATGAAGTAGCAAGAAAAAACTACACAGCTCTAGAAATACGAATGGAAATATTGACAGCTGACTGTAACTGATTTATCTGCAGCTGTGTTCACACACATACCTGCATGCAAGCATTTGTATACTCCCCAATCATAGAAACAAGCACAAGAATTATCTCTACCCCAACCTCTCAAAATGTAGCTCACATACAACTGTTCCCTTCTGTCTGAATAAAGGATGGAAATGTGAAAACATCATTACACTACTCTGTGGTGAGCTATTCTACCATGCTTTCCAAACAAACTCAGCCACCTGAGATAGTGTCCAGCAGAGTATTAGAAATGCCCCTGGTGATCAGTGAGAAAACAGAAATTAGTACAGAAAGAATGACTGCTACCCAGCTCTCTTCCAAGTGCTTTCTCACAACGCTGCTTGTATGCTTTAGGCCAGCTCTATCAGTGTTTCAGTGGTGTCTCTGTGCAGAGGACAAGTGCCATTCCTCATTCGTTTTCATACAGTCATTTTTATACCTGTGTATCAGTAACTATTTTTGTGATGCAGCTCGCTGAAGCAGACCTGTGGATCTGCTGCGGATGTTATCTGTTACTCAGTTTCTGTGTTTGCTTCTTGTCAAGATTCTGCAATTTTAAGATGACTGGATTGGTATTACAACAGTCATAAAAACAGATGTGATTTTAGCCATAGTTTTATGCACCATAAATGAACCATGTAATAAAAAAACCCACAACCTAACAAATCCTTTAAGTCCTGAAGTTTAATTTCCTTCCTGTGGTGGAACAGGAAAAAAAAAACAAAAACCCTGTACCTGCTATCAGCTATGAATTAAGCTGTGATCCAGCAACCCAGAGTATTCAAAGTAGAAAATGTGTCCAGACTGCAAAAACTTCTGCTGTTTAGAATAATCAACTTTCAGCATGACATGAATATTCAGAGCAACTCATTTAAGTAATTTAATAGTCATGGTTATAGCCAGGTATGCATCATCCCCTGTCGTATCACTGATTCCCAGTCCAATACCAGTATTTCAGGTTTTTTCAATTATACTTTTCCTTAAGAGAAATTTGATTTAAATATTCATCATTAACAGAACAGACTGTACCCAGAAATTTTCAATTTGTACTATTTCACATAGAGATAAAATACTTAATTTTCACCTACACAGTTTGAAAATCTAGCCCTAGAGCAATGAACTACTTTACTCCAGGAATCAAAAACAGCAATGAGATGTAACTGATAACATGGAACTGTTTTTGGAATCATATGTTTTGAAAATAACACACCGCAACTTGAACATCATTGTTTTGTCTAGGTAATTCTTCATTACAGGAAAAAAAATTCCTTTTCAAGAGTAATTATGTTGACTTTCCTGGTTCATTTGTATTGCTTTGGCATTTGCAAATATAATGATTTGAAAAATTGTATGAAGCAGTTTTGCATTTACCAAATGCAAATGCTGAAGTCAGTCCTTGTTTACAAAATTTCTATAGTTTGATTTCTAGAGTTCCTGTGCTAATCCACTGCAATGACTGTACAATATCTACAGATTTCTAATGCACTTTTAGCTTAAAATTTATATCTGTCTTTGCTATTGTCACTACAAAAGTATCTGGTGACTAATGTAACTATTATCACCACAGTACATAGGTCAACATTTAACCTGATTTTCTTCTTGTTCTGCAGAGGTGTGGGGGATATTACATACATATGAGTCTGTCTATTTATGTATCTAATACTCCAGAAGCTGTACCTCTTCTTTGCTATTTGTACTGCTGCTGTGATAAAACTGAATATCTCCAGTGACAGGACAAGGGCCAATGGGCACAAACTGAAGCACAGGAAGTTCCGTCTGAATATGAGGAAGAATTTCTTCACTCTGAGGGTGACGGAGCACTGGAACAGGCTGCCCAGGGAGGCTGTGGAGTCTACTGCTCTGGAGTTATTGAAGACATGCCTGGACAAGGTCCTGGGCAGCCTGCTGTAGGTGACCCTGCTTCGGCCGGAGGGTTGGACTAGATGACCCACAGAGGTCCCTTCCATCCCCTACTATTCTGTGATTCTGTGATTGTTTTAAATTTGATGTCCTCTGGAAACGAAAAAGCCTGAGACTCCTATTAGCATTCATACTAAAATATGTAGGAGCTGATCCACAAGACACTAAAATTAATGCATGATAGAGTGATTACAACGTTTTCCGTAGACAGTAAGAAGATACACTCTGTGGGATTACTAAATTAACAAATTATAGTTTTGTTATTGCAGCAAATGAGAATGACATATGAATTTACAAATACACATCCTAGCTCAAAACCTTTTCCATTTATCTCTAGCAGAACTCTTTGACTTTCCCCTGACTTGCTCCTCCTCTCTACCTCCTTCAAGGAGGGTAACTGGTAACACACGGCCCAACCTTTTTTATCTGGGGAACTATGTTTTGCAGTTTATCGCCAAAACCTACTTGCTGTCTCCAGCTGCTATCTTGTGTCATTCGAACACCCATATGGTATACTACAGATGTTCTTAAATTTGAATAGAAACATCAATATTATCATTATGCTGCAGGGGTAATAGAAAAAAAATAGGTCAAGCTGTCTACAAGACAGGAAAAAGCGATACTTATTCACAATAAAGTTTTCTACCACATCCACAAAACAGAACGTTTTTCCCTTTCATACTTCAGACCACCTTACAAGATAAAATAAAGGTCTTTTCTGGATGAAAATGTTTTCTGTTGTATGTAACAAGAGTTTGACTTCTTTGGTTTCTGGTTAGTAGACCCTCCCTATAGCTTACTGTTGATCTTATAAATTCTTCGCTGGCAATATACTAATATAATTGCCTCACAGGAGGCTTTATTTTCAGCTCCCCACTATGCTTTTCATGCTTTAGTAAATCTTTTATTCCCTGATAGCTGCCAGGCTGGTATGAACTTGGCATTTTCTTGTTTGCACACAGTACAGACAACCCTACTAAAATAAAACACGGAATGACTTCTTAATCTCATCAGTCCTAATTTTTTTCTGCGACAAAATCTCCTAGATGTCACTGTGCTTTCATTTCAATGTTGCTGTTACCTGTGTTTACTCCTCCAGTGAATATCCATGCTCCAGTTGTCATAGCAGCCTTAATGAGGCCTTTTCCAAAGACTTGCTTGAGTTTTGGCTGAAGCTCAAAATTCTGAAGGCCCCCATGCACAGAGATGAGAAGTTTAGGGAGCTCAAGCTGCCACTCTTTGGTCATCAGATGCAGAAGAAGGTCAGGCTTTGTGTCAAAAGACACACGTACATACTGCAGAAATAAGGGCAGTAGTAGAGAAAAAAAGATTGGTTAAACTGACTGGTTCCTAATACACATGATCTATTCCCAGCAGATCACTGAAAAAAGGCAACCTCTATGACAACAGCACTAACTAATTGCTAACTTCATGATTTTCAAAAGTTAGGAAACTAGGAATAATGGAACACTTGCAATTCACAGGCTGGAAAATTTTCCTTTATTTAGGAAATTCAGTCTATTTGTTTCAATATGCTCAGCAATGCTTGAGACATAAATGTCTTTAATTGATGGTGTAAAAACTGGAGCAAAATTTTAAGCGGTCTGCCAAAGATGACCTAGATAGTCAGAATCACAGCTGTGCATTCACCTGTATCTTACTTTCAAATTAACAAAATCAAACTCTCAAAAGGTAGGAAATAACAGAAACATCTTGGTTGTTCAAGCACACATAAGTTTAAACTGAGGAAGATTATTTAACAGGTCCTTTTCAGATGAAGGAATGCTAACTTATGGCATACAGACTGATTGGCATAGACTCTTAAATTTGCCTAACAAGGCACAGAATCCTAAAGTGCTTTGAAACATCGTTCCAGTTCTTGGCTCTTCTGTAGTACATCTGCAGCATTTTACCCCAAGGGACATCACGTCCATTTGTGTGTGGTCAAAGATAACAACTGCTTCAAAAATTCTACAGCACTGCCGTGTCACACACATACCTGTCTCTTCCTGACAAGCCTGTCTCTCTGGCTCTTTCTGTTGCTGATGCATGAAGGGTTTCACAAAGTCTGTGGCAGGGCAGATGATACTTTGTTGAATTCTAATTGCATAGCAGAAATGGGCCGTAAGTGGACAAAATTTTTTCTACAGCTGGTAAGATCTGGAAGGACCCTCTTAATTGAATAAAATAGGTTACAGAAAGCCACTCGTCTTTCAAACTTCTGATTGAACAAATGCATATAGAGTTACTTCAGTAGTCTTTCCCTTGAAGTGTTGTCAGCACAGCCATCAGGTGTGTAACACAGGTACCTTTGCTTTCAGCCAGCTGAATGCCTAGTTCTAACTTATTTATTGTAACATGGCAGGTAGTATCATATCCACAAACCCTGCAAAATCTTTTTGTCCCCTTTTAACCTGTCTAATCAGTATTTCTTGCCAAAATACTGTCCTTTTTTAGTAAATTCTATGACAGCGAAGTGGGCTACTTTCTAGTTGAATGAGAAATAAGGACTTGACCTTTCGCAGAAGAAACTGCTAATAGACAGGTTACTTTGCAAGAATGGGTTGTTGGACAGTGAACAGCTATTCTTCACATTTCTGGAAGCAGAAGCTCGTTTGGACAAGCAGTCACAGTGAAGCAAGGGGGGCACAGCCAAACTGACAGCTGAGCAAGAACTTCAGTATACACATTTACCCTAGTGCACCAGTAATGTTCTCTGCAGCAGTCAGGCAAATTCTTAACAGCTAATGGACAAAGAACATACAATATTCATGTCTGGCAAGAGCTTAATGTACCCTCGAGCTTATATGTACATGAACTGCATCCTCAGTAGCTACCCATGCAATTTCTGTGTGGGAGTTGAGAAAACTCACTGACCAGATGGTGAAGCTAATAATTTTGATTAGGAATTGATAACAGTCAAAGTTTTAACACACCAAAAGAGTTGTAAGGAGACTGATCCTTACGCCCTTTGCTCATACCCTTAGGGAAAGCTGAGGTTGCAAAGGGCAATGCCTTGTTAACACTGTAGGCTTTAACAGATAGACAACATCCTTCAGGGGGCCTCCACGAAACCTCTGCTCATCAAACTATGGAGATTATGTCTTGGACTCACCGGTACCTTTGTTTTTTGGTGAAGACAGACTGGGACTTGTAAGAAGAGAAACAAAGTGAATTCATATTAGTAATGGCCACAAAAATGTCCTGAAAACAGAGGCCACTGCCTCATCTGGGATGATATTAAGATGAAGGTATAAATGGCATCAGATATATATCATCTAATCCAGCCAGTGACTGTTTATTTGCTTCTTTAGCACTGTTTTATCTGCCAGAATGGGTGACTTCACTGTCCCTACCTTCTTAAATCTATGTATTAATTGGCAAAAATCTCTTTCTCCTCTCTTTCACTAAGACCTCCAAATTTCAATACATATAAATCTATATAATGAATCACAAAGTTAGAAGAAATATTTTCTTACATTTATTTGAAATGTAGCCATCTTTTATTACAGACAACTGCTTACTCTTTACAGAGTAAAGGCAAAACTCTTCTATACTTATGATAAGAATTAATTTTACTTTATAAAGAAGAAATTTAAGCACAGATAAACCTGAAAATTTTTTTCATGTAAATTAAAATTTAAATCATCATGGATAAGCATTAGTTTCACAAGTTTTCTGAGAAGGGCAATGGTGCCAAATATCATGATCTTTCTTCTGCACATAGACCTCAATTTTTATGAATGTCTGACTTATTTTTGCTCTTACAGAGGCCACTTTCAGTTTAGTATGCTTGGGATTACTCTTTTGATATTACCTAACATGCTAACTAGATAAGTACAAGAGAATTCTTTTGTCATCCCGTTCAAAGTATGCATTAAATTATGAATTAACACTTTTAAGGCCTTTTTTGTCCATATTAAAAATTAATTTCTTTCAATCTGGTAGCAGAATATTCTGCCTTTTCAGTTTTTGTTTAAAATCTTTATGAGTATTTCTGCCATTCCTGAATTCTTTTGCTATAGCCTCTGGAGGCAGATTTAAAATTTACATGTAAATCTACACTAAACCACTGCTCTGTTACCCTGAAATTCCATGTCTGGTGTGTCTATCAGCTGTAGAAATGATCAGTTCTAGTGGCACATAATTCAACCCATTCTTTATGGGAGAGGTGTGTGGATGGGATATAAGATTTCAGTTGTTATATGTCAGCAGAGCAGGGTGAGATAGGAAGCAAAACTACAGTTTTGAACTACAAAACCTATGGACCGACCTGACTGACATAAGCATAACACTGTAAAATGATAAATCGTCAAGTTCAAGCTGTGATGCCCATCTGATCCCCAAACTAGCACAGAAGTAGTCAGCAATGGTGGCATTTGATGCCAATAGTTGTTTCACTTTTTTATCAGGCAGTTTCCTGAAAAATAACTGTGCCCTCATCAGTCAAACAGCCAGATCCTTGCAAGCTGGACTCCAACGTGCTATGGCAAAAGTAGATGTTCCTGAGTAGTAAAATTACTGCTCTGTTACTCAGGCACAGCTGTCTCATTAAAGTACATGGTGAATGATTGAAAATGAGAGTCTCAGTGAATAAAAGAGAAACATTCAGAATTTTGTTCTGTTTCTTCAAAGAAAATATCTTCAGAGAACATTTTGTGATCTGCAGTCTAACATTGCTCCTTTGTTTCGCTTTGATGCATGCAGATACTGGGTGGCTATTTCACCTACATTTAAATAAGATTCCACCACTGCAGACACTTCCTCAAGCTAAAGACTGATTCCCTCAAAGTTTGATTTTCACATAAAAAATAGGCCTGATGTAATGCCCACTGAATTCGACAGAACAACCATCACTTGGACTGAAACCAGACTGGTTCCTTGTAAGTTAATTATCGTCTTAACATCCTAAGGCCTCATCCTAGTTCCACAAAATAGTCAGTGGAAGGACCCTCATTGATTTAAATGGGCTTTGGATAGAAGCTTTTCTGTGTTATTTGCCCTTTTCCTCCATGTAGGACACAGTCCTTTAATTTCTGTAAATATTCTTTAACTACTAATTTACTAAAACAAAAACAGTATTTGCTGCCTTTTTCATGGTTTAGGGAAGTTACAGGATTATCTCTTTTTTCTCTCAAAAACACTGATGGCTTTTAAGATCCTTTTTACACAGTTTTGAAAAACTTAATATATTTTAAAAGCAGAAATACCCCTTTTTATGTGGCTGATATCCAAATATCCTTACTAAAGTATAATGTTTTGAGGATCTGAATATCAGAAAGTCTGTCTAAGAAACTGTTTATGTACATTGGAATTCTGTTGATGTTCTTTTATGTTTCCATGCACCAGAAGAAAGGTTAAGCTTACAACACTCAAGTAAACTTTATTACTTCTACAGCTGCAAACATAAGTTAGCTTTTTATTGTACATATTACATTTATCATTGGAATGTATTCAATTAGGAGGAATGTATTTAACTCACTAAGGCTTTTCAGACAGCCATCTTCTACCTAATCTTGAAAAACCATGATCAAAGAAATCTCAGTTCTGTAACTAGCAGTTCTTTAAAAAAGGTTGGCATGGAATCTGGGCATACCAATTAACGAAAAACTGTTACGGGTTATTTTTTTGTGCATGGAAAGGCAGATAGTGAATTCAAAATATTGGTTCTGTTTGGTCACAAGTTCAGTGCAAAATGCATCATAGCAAGATTGTCTTAACTGGTCCATTAATGAACAGAATCTATTTTGAAATTGTTCAGAATATTGCTCATAATTGGAATGAAATCACTCACATTAGTTTGATAACTGCTCTTAGACTTAGGATAATAAATTGCCAGTATATAGTTAGATGAACTCATCCATGTTCTTTCTTAAACTACTAAAAGCCAACTGATCTAAGCAGATAATATTCTACTAATTTTCCTATCTTTTCTTAATCCACTGATTTATTGCAAAAGCTGTTAATAAAGTTTACATATCTCAATATTCTACTCATTTTCCTATCTTTTCTTAATCCACTGATTTATTGCAAAAGCTGTTAATAAAGTTTACATATCTCCACATCACTTTCAGATCTTTTTACAGTTTTAAAAATTGAAAATCTGCTGTAAAAACAGTGTAAATGTGAACCGTAAAACTGTAAAATGTGTTTTTTAAACATTAATGGGATGAGCCACTTATAAAGAAAATAGGAGACTGATAGAGATCTAAAAACCACAGTGTTGTTGCAGGACCATCTGTAGTTACATGAAGGCTGAAAGAAAGGCCTCTTTAGTAACTGATCTTGTTAACCAATGTTATCTAATCTCGGCTATATGTTTCTATATAATCTGCTGCACCCTTAGCTATTCACTTTAGTGATTTAAGCAGCTTAATGCAGCCCCACTGAAGATACTTTAACAACTCAATGGTATTATCAAAATTCATGCTGTTTGAGAATCTTTGTTCTATGTGCCTGTGGAAACGAAATTTATGGCACAGCCAATTCTATTGGCAACATGTAAAGCTACATTGCCTTTTCTGTTTTGTTCCGAATCCACTGTTTTATTAAAATTTCAGTGTAACTTTCATTTTCACAGCTAAAGATGCCAATGTTAATTGCCTGGTGGCAACTGATTTAATCTTACGTCACTGCATTTGTAGGTTTCAAATATACATATGAAGTATACATATATATTTACTATTAAATTTGTATAGGTATTATTAAAATCTAATTTTCTAACTTGCAATGGAGGAAATAATTATCTGTCAGTCTTACACACATTAATCTATTCCATTAATTAACTACCAATTTCCCAGTCATAAATCTGAGGTTACGGTTACCATAAATAAATCCAACGTCATTCCTTGTAGCCTGATTCAGAAAAAATTACCAATTTTGCTGTTAGCACAGACCAAGATGATACTACTCCGTTCTGTGCTTCCCTTGCTTACAAATTTTCATCTGTGGGCATTCATTTCAGGAAATAAAGTAAGGAACAGGTGGTGAATTTTATGCCAAATTCTTCTCCTGAGGCTTTGCTTGAGGCTGGTCAGCTTGCTAAATCTTGCTGCTTTACAGGGTTATTCTATTAGCCAACAGGCACAATATTATCCTACCATGATTGTCAGCAAAAATCAGCTTGCATGCTATAGTGATAGTTGATATCCAGTAGCTAGAAAATAACTAAGTAGCATATTTTTAGAAAAGAACTAATGTCCATTTATCATGTTTGCTCCCTCTTCCTTCTCTCCCTCTGCTCCTGTTGATGTTCCGACTGCTCTGTTTTTGAGTTTGAAAATACATTATCTGAACAAGAATGTTTCCAAGGGTTATTATGTACTTGTTCCTTTTCCCAAGCCTTATTTTCAAGATAATTTAAACACTCCTTTTCTCCTCCTCTACTCGCAAAATTGGTTGATTGCTTTGACTGAGCAAATTCTTGGCTTCACAGAAAGTTTTTGATTTGCTAAGATTTACTTCTCATGGGAAAGACCTTGTACCTAGTAAATTCAGAGACAGGAGTTTCATCCTTTCTACTAATAAAACTGCAACAACTACTTAGGCAGCTCTTTGACTATAATCTATCCTAAAATAATGTTTGAGGCTGGAAATACGACTATAAGGACACCTTCACGCTGTTCTCAGTGACAAACACACCGTAGAATAACAAAGCTCTTTATTTTGTTTCCGTTTAAAAAAAATGCACAATTACTGGTTGTGCAGACCTCCTTATTTGTTATTTGGTCATATGAAAGATGTTTGTCTCACTGGTAGCAACCAAGCACGACACCCATTAAAGAGATATTTAGTGAATAGTTTAATTTGTAGCACTTTTCCCACTTGTGGGATGATTGAATTTCTGGAGCTTTCATACACTTATTTATTTCATGAAGAATTTGGTTGCTCCCATGTGTTGGGTGGGGTTTAATGACTATGAATAGATGGCAGATATAACTATCTTCCTGATTCTAGTACTGTCAAAATAAATCCAGAGTTTTACCAGCAATAAATGTTTTGTCTGTATTCATCCCAAAGTTTTAACTTCTTATTTAGGTGTCTCTGATTTTTAACACCTTTTTGTCTTCTTTTTTTCTAAACTCTTTATCGTTTTGTTCCTGACTGCACTCTATGACAAGATTTTTCCTTTCTTTATCTTACTTCCAATTTTATCTCTGCAGTTTCATTTCAAGTACATTTCTTTGAGCAACGAGCATATACCTTGGGGCATCTCCTGTTCTGCTACAGGACTGTGCCAGGAGAACCAGAATCCCAACAAAGACCAGAAATCCTCTAGAGAAATTTCTATCAATAGATTCCCTAAACCTTTCAATATTTCTTGGCTGCCCAAGACTACTTTCATCTGGGCAGGGCAGCTTAGTGCTTTACAGTGATCTTCAAGGACATCACTCAAAAAGCTATAGCGATTACCCTTTCTCGTAAAGACAGATTTAATGCAAAATGCAATGTATCCATATACAGTTAATAGCATTATGATTACTATCTCTCTGAATCTTTCTCAGTTTTGATGAAAAGCTCTCTGTTTTGTTCCCACTCCTTGTGAGGATACCAACAGCACAATTTGGTTTACTTCAGTGCTGGGGGAGGTGTCATTTATTCACACTAAACAAATGCTATTTACTGAATCAGAGTCTCGCTCTAGCAATGGTCTTGCAGATTTTTAGGTGTTTGATTATCAACTGTATGTTAGGTGTCTGTGATACTCTCAGAGTAATGACCTAATTTTCTATATGTTTCTTTGTGCAACAGTGTTTTCTGTTTCAAAGAAGCCATCCATCTGGGCAAACAGAACCATCCACTCAAGTAATCATTCTGTCTCCAGCACCTGTGTATCCATCTGAGGAAAGTATCTGGCTCTTGGTAGCATAGTACCTGAGCTCTTCATTGTCTCTAATTAATCTAGTACCATGACAGATGTGACAGACCTGTTGGGAAGAATTCAGGTAAAGAAGATGGTGCTGGGTTGCTGGGCAGGTTATTCTGCAGAGCGCCCAGGGGTTCTGCTTCTGCCCTCACTGCTGCCCAAAGCAGTGTCTTGGCCATGATGTGCTAGGTACACACTCATCTTTCATTCACAAAGTACCAGGTTCTGCAGTTTAGATATAGTCAGAGAGATTCTTCCTTTCATGTAACGCCACATAGAAGAAATACATGCATGGGTTAGTGTGGGTGCTGGAAACACCTCTCCAACTTAGTGGAGCAATGCTTTCAGATTTATATACTTTGATATCTCTCCGTAGCGTTGTTTTACAATGCAGTGACTTGCCCAAGGAAACCTGTGGCAGAATAGGGATTTCCCGGTGCCTAGCTTAGACACTTACTGGGCCTCTTATTTAATTGAAAGATGAACCAGTAAGTCTAACTGGTCTATCCTCTGAAACATGTCTGGAGGAATATTAAAAGCAACTTGGTATATTTTAAACTTGTCAGCCTTGCAGATACATCCAGCAATGAGAAACCATAGCTGAATTCTAAAGTTATTGAGAAATAGATGGATGGCTAGCCATTGGAAGAAAATCAAGATAGCAGCACATTAGCATGTCTTCAGTCTTCTTGAAGGCAGCCCCTCTTACACTGCACTCCATCGTTTACCGTTAATTCTGTTCACCTGTTCTTTGGCACGATACATAAAAATATACGGTACGGTCTTACGCTAAATAATACTTTAAAATGAAGTTAAGAAAGAATGCTTTTTTTTCTTTGTGAATACCTTTTTTGAGCTAGCAGCATTATTCATCTAAGAGAAAAACATGGTTACCATGGCTTTATTGGAGTGGCCTCCTCCTTGGAACTCAATGGTTCCAAACGCGTCCGTCGGGCTGAGCTGCGTGTGCTTGCTGATGGACCACTTCTCCGACTGGATGTCATTGCGAGTAAGCCTGCTTTCATTTTTCTCATTCTGAATAACGGAGATGCTTGGAGTCAGTCCAACATGTTGACCTATTAGACGCCCACAGCAACACCTATGACATTAAACAAACAGAAACTTGAGTCACGTGCACAAATAAACCAAACAGGGAAACAAGCTATCTTAAACATACTACCAATCTTAAAAAAACTGCCTGTTCAACTCTGCTGATCACTTCCATGCTATCTGAAACCTCTACTTGTGGAAACAACATAGTACAGATACTACCTTTTCTTTCTATGTTATTGTTTACTTTGGACTCTCCCATATTTCAATACAATCATGATTTGTTCCAAATATACACAAAATGAAGTTTAAGAACATTTTCTACTGTCTTCAGATGACATCATGCCAAATAATCAGGTTTTGCATGGACCAGCATGTATTTTAAATTGGCAGTTCACTGCAATTGTTTTCTTTAGACAGCATTGTGTGTCACGCATCCAATTAGGTAAATATTCAAGGTGCTGAATATTGAACTAAGAAGACAAGGAAATTAAATGTAGATGCTGATCCACCTATATATTTTTTTGGATGAAATAAGTTTTGAAATGTACCCAAATACTGCCCATAGGAATCCATCACTCCAGATGTAATCCAATCACCTTCTGATCAAATAAGTCTTTACAAACAATTTATATCCATATAAATACATATACACACATAGATATGGAAATTTCCTTTTAATTGACTTCCATTTTTCATACAAGTAACATGCAGTTACCTATGGGGGTCTTTGGTGCTGGGTATGATATGAACACATTCTCTTTTGTAAAATGCTCTTTCTATCCATGATTTCTGCGCCTAAAAAAGAGAAAGGAAATGGTGTGAGCCCTGTTTGCTTATTAAACACAATTTATAGTAGAACGGAAGAGAAATTTCACATGTGAAGGAAAACTTCACTGACTGCAGATACGCAGTGCACATTTTGCACAGAGTGAAGATTTTACACAAGAAATATGGTTCCTTTCTAGAGCTAAGCACTCGACATAAGCTCTTCGGATTGTTTTTACATTCACCAGCCAGATAACTTTTATGCAGTCATTAATATTTTCACAGCAGGAAGCACAGGAGAACAATTAATTCAAACTGTAAAGCTTTCTGCATAGTGGAAAGAAAACAAAACTATTCATTAAAAATATTTAAAATAAGTCTATTTCCATTTTAGTGATAGAACTGCATCAGCTCTAATTAAAAAAAAAATAATCTCAGAAACTAGAAAATAAACATCTCACAACCAAATTTATAACATCATGATTCCAATGCATATTTTTATACATGCATTGAGAGTGCTGCTTAACACTGAGCCAGAAAATAGTTTCATATGTGAACATCTTAATGGAGGAAAAAAAAGACGGAAAACCTATTTCTGAAACGAGACACAAAAAAATTTAATACATTGAGTCAGATGACCAGCTGGTGTAACCTCTAAAACTGACTGAGTTCAATGAAGCCATGCCTGTTCATAACACTCAAGATCTTTCCACACACATTTGCAGAAAAACAAGTAATCTCCCTCAGTGCAGTCTTAATTTTCAGATATGCAAGACATCTTTTTTAAAAGAGGGATAGATGAGTAGGAAAGAAAAACACCCCAGAACAACCAACAAGACACTTTCAGAGTTTAGAAATATTTTTAATTATCTGGACAGTCCTCACTCCACATAATATGACTTCTAGTAAGCTCTCTAAAACCTACTCCTAGATAGAGTAAGTGAGTTGAAACTTTCCTTTAAAAACTGATTTCCTAAAGATAAATTTTATAAAATGTGTTTAAATAATAAAAATACCTACTGAAGTGCAAAACATAAACAGAACCATAAATATTACCTAACCAACTAATGTTAGCTTTTACTATGTAAGGTTAGATAGTGACCTGTCTAACTATTAACTTTACTAACTAATGTTACCTTACTAACTATGTAATGCTAACATTTTGTCAACTCAGTCTGCATTCTGTTTTGAAAATCACTGTGAACTGCAGAAATTTCTTGGACTCAATGCATGTCACTAGTATAAACTCTAAAATACCATAATAAAAATTTCTAGCTACATTCATTACTTCTCCCTTTCAGTACATAAAAAATGATTATTTTGCCTTTTTCACAGAAGATAATCCCTTACTGGATCTAGTGGTCACTCATGTTATGTAACAATATTTTATCTTTGCTTTTCTTGCATTTTTATATGAAAAATCCGCTAGACTTCGTATTTTGTAGGAATGACAGACACTCTAAGATGACTTTCAGGGTCAGGAAAACGAAAAGTCTATTAAAAACATTAAATAGAACTACATTTGATTGCTCTTCCTTACTGTAGCAAAAGGAAAGTTAATATCGAATGTGTAGCAATGTTTGTTTCATGTTTAAGCAAAGGTCAGTTAAATCCAAATTCTGAAAAATTTAAAAATGTTTTACTTTACACAGGAGAGATTACCTTGAAGTTCTAATTTATTATAACTTTAAACTGCTTACAATCCTATGATGTAGAAAATAATCATCATCATCATCATCATCACCATAATCACAACATTGTATATTATACAGTCAAATCAGCTTAGAAGTCTAGTGCATCATTGACTAATTTCTCAATTTAGTAGTCTTTTCTGGCAAAGAAAGTCTTTTTACAAACTAACTTCCTAGGACTGTCAAGACATCCAGAGTGAACTTTATGAACTTCATTTGACCCTCTCACTGCAGAAGTTTTGAAGCTAAACTATCTGGCAAAATTAGAGTTTTTCTTTTTGTTGAATGTTGTAGAGAAAGAATGGAAATTACCATTATTATTCAGCTACTGCAATGTTAACATTTGAAATTATGTACTTTACTGTATGGACCACATATTCTTGAAATTTTTCACCCTTTGAACTCCAAGAGTACACAAGCTTTCTATATTTTCTTAAGAAGACACACACTGATAAGAAGCTGCAGATTTATGAATCCCCTTTGTTATATATATACATAGTAACTTTTTGACAAAAAGACAACACTTACAGAATAATATCAGGTTTATCCCCATCCTTATTTATTTTAACACTAAATACATGCCTGCAATATCTTTTATCTTCTCTAGAAAGCATGAATAACTTTTCTTCCTGTCACCCCAAATTAATTCCTACTGCAGAGCTTACACAGCATATGACTACCATTCATATTGTCCAGACTCACTAAAAATATCCTTTATTAAATTTCATAAATTCTACATACTTTTCTACAAACAATTTACCTTGGTGAATTTGCTTAGTAGATAGACCTACTGTATCTTTTCTAAAGACAGCCACTTTTTCAATTTCACTAAGTCACAAGATCAATACAAAACGGTGCCATGACAGGTACTCCATGGAAAACTTTTTTCCTTAGGTATACAAGCAGAGTTTCAACAACCAAGAAAGTGACATTTAAAATTTGTTTTCCTACTCTTTTTCATACTCTCTTTGCAAGTAGAAAAGAAACCCAGCTATTTTAAATGTAAGAATAATTTGCATTTCAATTTTCATCATACTTCTTCAAACATAATATTGTAAAAATAAAAGTCGGATTATTCACATCAGGAAAAAAGACTTTCCAGCTTTTAGATCTCATACAATATACTACCCTACCTGTCAGAGTAATAATGCCAAAATAGACAATTTACTCATTTCATAATTCCTTGTCCTTCCAAACTAAAAAGAAAGCATCTGGTTTCACTGCCCCATGCCATTTATCTTTCTGTGACAGAGATCATTTGCAGTGAAGTACAAGGTTCAGAGATATAATAAATTATGTTACTTGCCGTAGAGTCTTCATAAAAAAATCAGAATAAATTGAGGAAATCAACACATTAATCAAAAAACAGTCTTCATTAAACTATTGCTTACAATGCGAAACAACAAAGTAGTAAAAAGTTTAGAAAAGTATAGCAAAGTATTTTCAAGAATAGCAGAGCAAGAAACTTATCTTCTTTTTGTCTTATTTCATAAACACTCCTTCAGTATTAATTCATAAGGCAATTCAAAGTCCACAGTGAAATCCTAAAGTACATGCCATATGTATACTGTGATTTAATTTACTTGTAGCTTGGATCTCTACATTAAGCCTCTTTCTTTATTAACCTAGCTGCAAAATCCCACCAAGAACATTTATTGTCTCTCTTCTTTACCTGAGCATTAGACTTGGCATTTGAGTCTGTCCTGGAGAAACTCTGCCATCCACGTTTCCCTGCTGCCGGTCATCACTAACAGCTCTGCGGCCGCGCTCGGCACCAGGCGCTCAGTCCACCCACGGCGCGGGGACGTGAGGGCCAGCGAAGCCCTTGCACCTGTGAGCTGCTTGGAATGTGCTGCTGTGGGATTAGCCTCTTTCAGGGTGCGGCAGACACCCACTCGCAGCCCCATAACACCGCTTGGCTTGAACATCTAATCTGACTCCAAAAGAAAAACAAATCCCCTGGGAGCTTGAATTTAGCTGGCACAAGCCTCGACGGGCATTTTTCCCCCCCTCTTCTTTCCCCCTTAGAGAGCGAGATAGTGAAAGTGTGATAAGGTGCTCTGAGTTCTTAAATTCAACCCAGGAAAACAAATCCTTCAAAAGACACAGTGTACTAAACTGGAAAGAACCTGAGCACACAAGAGAGATTGTTAATCTCTGAAGAATGAAACCAGTGTGTTTACTGGGTAACTGTGAGAAATTTACACACAGCTGAAATATATTGCAATTAATCAACAATGGCATTTTTCCAAAGAAGCTGGTGTTTGTCACTGTTTCTCACCACAGTTGCTGTACTGTAGTGCATGTAACCTTTCAGAAAGTCATAAACATAAACCTTTGTCTTTCAGCGACAAGCAACTGCATTGTTTTCAGCTTAATTAAAAGTAACTTAAAACACAACTTGAATGTTTACAAATTTGAGGACAACTTCTTTACTGCACCCTCTTGGTATCAGCACTGAAGAACAACGTTCTCATATGAACAACACAGATTTTTTTAGTACATAGCAATTGTATGTGTTCAATTACTTATTTCAAGAGTTATCCAAATATAACATATTTTTACACACACCTCCCTCCCCCCCCGCCCATTGAATGAATTCCTCTCTACTCCTACATATGCATACATACCCTCCTTTCCTTTTCAGTAAGGCTGCATCTAATGCATTCTGTCCACCCTTGGCACTGATGAATACACAAGCATTACACTATTCTGTATTTATATTAGCTTGGATGGGCCCGGGACGGGCAAGGCTGTGCCTATGAATCAACTTCTAATCTTCTACCCCCACACATGTCGAGCAGCTTCTGCTACACTGGCTAATCCATAAGGCTTTTTCTTTCTTGGTTCCCTGAGTTGTTTGTGTAAAATACATACATATATTTTGTATGCAATGTTTACATGAAGTGTGTACTTATACACACTCTGTATGCATATGTGTGCACACTCTGCTGGAGCACAGCTAGGACGTGTGAGATTACCACAGAATTCAGAACGTTTGCACATCTTGTGAGATGTCTTTAGCACAGGATCAGGCCAAAGATCATCTGTGGAGAACAGCAAAGGTAAAGAAAGTTGCACTGTCAATGAGAGCAGCTAGTAAACAGATCAATGAGGTAAAGAATATGACTGGGCAGTCAGCGGGAGAAGACTACTTGCATTTTAACACAAAGGAAATTGGTTTGGTTGAGAGGGCGGAGAAAGAGTGAGGGGAGAAAAGAGAAGCTTTCACAAAATTGAGATAACTGAGTAAAAATCCAAATCTGACTTTGAAGTGAAACTTCAGCACTTGGACTTGACAATGTTCTGGAGATTGTTCCTCGACTGAGGTTTCAGCTGGCAAAGTAACCTGGGGCAGAGGCCACATCTTTCATCTTAAAAAATCAAGAAAAGCAACAAGAGTTATACTCCTTCACATATGCCACCCGGTGGCACCATGAGTGTTATTTTATAGAACTTAGGTAGAGTTGCCATATGCCACTGATGCTGCAGGAAATTACAACTGTCTTTGGCATAGTTCGTTTAAAGATGCATTAATTTTACAGCTCTCTGGCAATGAAACTACCAGTGCCATAGGTACTCTTATATTTTGAGAACTAACAAAGAAACAGCAAATAATCAGAGACAACTGTTTTTTTCAGTATATTGCAACTGCAAAATAGTGCTTTCAGAGGTGGATGCTGCACATTTAACGCTACAAACATACACATTATTTACATTTTCAATCCAGCTCACTGTTAATGAAACAAACCCTCAAACAGCAATTAACAATGAGCTCAGTACTCACTTCTCATAAAAGAGGAGAGCAAATATTAAAAATTAATCAAGAACAGAAATTTTTCAGGAAGATAAATTCTGGCAGATTTCAACATGTTATGTAGCTGGGATGCTTAACTGCTGACCTCTGAATTAATGTTATTTTAAAAAGAGCACCAAGAGTGACAATTTTAGAAATGTGAAATTTTAGTGGCAGAGCAGAACTGGAGGCAGCTCTGAGCTTCGCTTCTCTACTTTGTTTTTCTCCGACAAGCAACCAGGTTATAAGACAGGTTTCACTGACGCAATAGAGGTGTTGTTATGTTGTTAAAAGCCTTTCTCTACCTTGCAGAGGGGCAGAGCAGCCGGACAGGCAGTGGAATATTACTGAAGCAAATTATAGATGGGATTTGCAGGAGCATCTGGTGACTGAACTTCATCAGTGCTATTGCAAGTTGATGTGATTAGTTTCTTAATCAAATGGGCACTTTTGTAAATCCCACTATATCTCAGTAAAGACCTTGTATCTGTAAACTTCTGTAGCTAGATTAGTGCAAAGGATGGCAATGCTTCAATATAAACTTATTACTAGGTGTGCTGAAGCCAAATTTCTACCCCTCCTTTCAGCGCTGCACAATTATAAGCTTCATAAGCGCTTTCACATCTTGCTTGAAGCATTAGCAATTGACCTCTCTGGACATTAAGATAGCCATCATTAGACTGTCCCAAAATGTTTGATTTTCCAACAGATGTTTACTACCAGTAGTGTCTTAGAGGCTGGCCATCAGGTCTTTACCCACTAGCCCTGTACTTCGGTATGTTTTATTCTTCTTCTAACTGATTTCCGAAATACTTTATCATCAGGGTTGTTCCAACAACAATGTTGAATTGTCTGGAAAATAAAGCTGTATTCAGTACAGAGTAGGATGGCAAAGAATGCAGTCATTTATTACTACAGTACATCACAGAATTTAGCTGTTAGTATTGTTTACTGGATGTAATTTTTATAGTGTACTTAGAAGAAGTAGAGGAATTTAAAAATAATTGGGAAGTTTTCATTCAATAGTTCATGATTTTAAGTATTATATCTGACACTTTTCTTACTGCAAGGTAACAGTAAAGAAAATTTTACATCTCTGTTAATGCTACTTTGCAAATTTGTGTTTATGTTTTGTATATTTTCAAAACATTATATAGACCAAACATATGTGACCAGACGTTATTATCCATGCTGTTGATAAAATAACTGGAAAGAATAACAGACATTTCAAAAAGAACCTGGGAGAATGATTAGATCCAAGAACTGGTGTAGACATGCAGGCTCCTACAGACCTTTTCAAAATCAGTAGAAGTGCAAGGCGAAAATCTTAAATAAAAGCTTATTAAAATGAAGGCTACATTGTAAAAAACCATTTCAAAGTTCCCTTATTTCCTTCTTAGGGGTACTGCCATAAGAGGGGAATAATTAAGCCTATTGGCTTTTTTTGTGATGTTTCTTTAGAGAAATATTTATGATTTCACCAAATCTGCTATGAGGTTAAAGTTGTTTAAATAAGTAAATAAACCTTTTATAGCAAGAAAGCCCTACTTGATCAGGAGATGGGTTCATCTAGCCCACTATCCTGTGTCTATAAGTGCCATAAATAGGTGCTAGAGAAAAGAAAAAACATGTCAAATGTATATAAAGCTTTTTCCTAACAGTTTCTCAGCTAGCAACTATTTTCTACTCATGGACTTCCTGCGTTGTTGTGATTTCTACATTTTCTGTAACCCTCCATGGGCTTTACTCCACAAACTTGTTCGCTGATTTCATACAAATTTACAGCATCCTTAATATCCTTCTCCCCACTGCAGGGGGGATCAGTTCCTCCTGTTTGTTTTGAACGTGACTCCTCATACTTTCCCATGATGTTTATTACTGAGAGAAGCAGTGAACAGTCAATTTCCATCCACCCTCTTCATGCCAGTCATGGTTTTCAGGATACATGCTTAATTATCTTTTTATCCTAGCTGCCCTCCTAAAAACTTTTTCCAGTTAATTTTATCCTTCTTTCTGTGAGGAACCAGAACCATGCACCAAAAGTGAACTACAGATTGCTGTTGTGGCAAGCAGACATTCACTATTTTAGTAGCTATTCCTTTCCTAATAATTGTTAGAAAACATTGATTTGGTTTTCTTGACCATCACTGCTAGTCACTGTGGTGATGCTTTCACAGAAATATCTAGCACAACCCAAATATTTCACTCCAGTGTAGTAAAGAATTTATAATACTAATTGTAAAGAAAGGCTCTTAAAAAAAAGCCGTTTTAATGAAAATCTGACAGAACAGAAATACACCTATATGAAAGTCTAACTGATGTCAAATTTAGCTTAACAAATTGTAATGAAATATGATATCACAGAAGTCTATAGGTGCACATGCGTAACTGGAAAGTAGAATAGACAGGAAATATTTTTCTGCCATTCAGCACTGCCAGACTATCTTTTAAAACAGTAAACTCGGTTTTGGCTTCTAAAAAACTGTAACATTATTCATAAATTCTCAAATTAAGGAAAGAAAATAACCTTCCATTAAGACTGATCTTATTGCTCTCAAATAAAAAAATCACAAGGTTAAAATGCATACGTAGGAGTTTCGCACTGAATCTAATTTTGATCTGAACTACTTGATTTCTAAATTGCTTGTTCTACCCCACAAATGTCTGACAGCTACAGCATTGTCTGCTCTTTCATTAGAGTGAGGTGGGTTTGCTACAGCCACTGTGTGGGTGCTGATTCCATGAAGCAATAAAAATTAAATTGTGCATAATTGTATGAAAGGGCCTGCAGGAACGGGGATTCCAGACATTCCCCAAGCCTAAACATTCAAATGGATCAGTTATACATCACTGTTTGCATTTCATCTCATCTTCCAGTCCTGTAGTTATTCACAACTCTTTCTTGAGACCCCTGCATCACGCAGCCCCACAGGCATTCTTTGCTAGAATGCCTTGGTTGTGGTCCTGGTTTCACCACCCTCCAGCCTTCCTCCAGAAGCTGTTTTGGAGAAATGGAACAAGAGAAGAGTCAGTTAGAAGACATGAGAAGACATTTTTGATCAGCTCTTTTGTCTCCCTCCTCTTCTGCTAAGCCAAACTCATGATTTTCTC